TTTGACGGCTTGACATCATCAAGTTTACAGAATACAGATCACATGTCTAATCAATCATAAAAATATAGTAAAAATGATTAGTTCCTGGTATAGTTTAGAATAAAATTGGTTTATAGCACATCTTTATATGATTTCCAGCACAAGCAAAGCCAATTTTAACTTTAAATATTTTAACACTTAGCAATAGAAAACGTAACTTTTTTATGCTCGTTTGAACACAATTAAAGACAATAATTTATTATACAAAATGGCAACAAGGTTTCAATTGTTCATTCTAAAATATCATAAATAACTTCTAAAATCTAAATGTCCACAAGATTGTCACGATTGTATTAGGAAAAGTCTTGTCTGTGTTTTTCAACAACCTGAAGTAGAAATTGTTTTTGTTCTTCATTCTTTGTTATTTCTGCATTAAAATATTGGATGAGAGCAACGCCCCGCTCAGTACAATCATTAACACATGACAAGTTATTGACAAGTTGACGTGCCATCTGATAGGAATGGTTTTTGTGCCACTCTTCCACTGGAATATCGAGAAAGCTATCATCAATGGCAGTAACTAGGAAGAAACTTCGAGAAATGAGTAGTTCTGCTGTTATTTTTGGGAGAGACTTGAGCAAATGCAATCCTCGATCACTTTTCATTGTCGACACAAGCTGGTTTTTTTCTTTAGAAGACATATGCTGAGAGAACAAGGAAACTGTTGCTAGCTCTTGGCTGAGGTACCAGGAGTGACGCTTCATCATCTTCAAACCTTTTGTCTGCAAAGCAGCATCTTCATGCATAAGCAGCCTTTGAATCAATAGAATGTCATTCAATTGTGCATCAGCAATGGCTCGACTTGAAAACCAAAATTGAATGTAGACATTGACAACAAATCTATTAAATCTCTGAATGCCCTGTAATTCACGAGCAGTCAACTGTATAACAGCTTCATTACCATTAAAAAGCAAATCTATCTTCATTGCATAAATCGCCTTGGCCATCCAACATGCTCTGTGAACAGCATCAGGCTTGCGAACTGGTGCTGCCCCAGCACATTTTAAACCAATCATATAAGCCGCAAGTTGGAGAAATTCTTGATAGTCATCTCGTGGATGGCTGAGTTGAAGCTGCTCAGCAATTAACTCCTTCAGATTGTCACTTGCACTCACCAATGGCACTGGTCGTGGCATAAGCCGACGGTGGACCAACTCTGACCATTTCTCTCAGAATCTTTTAAAAATCAAAATATCCGGTCCAGTTGACAGACCTAGACACACTCCATATGCATCAGACAACAACACCTCAAACATGTGATGGCGACATGCCATCCATAGCAGATTGCGACCAAGAGCCTTCTCCAGAAGAGTGCAGACTCCACTCAGTCTGCCGGTATTTGAGGCTGTTGTATCAAAGCACATTCCAATGACTTGTTGATTGTACTGCCATGATTTGAGTTGGTCAAGAACTGCCTCCAATCCCACTTGTCCTGTTCAAGAAGTCAACTTTGGTACTCCCAACAGTTTAATATTTCCATCAACAAGTGAAGAAACAAGAACTGCCAATCTATCAACTTGGTTGGTGTTTACTCCAGTGATGTCAGGTAGTAGTTTGCCATCCCAATGAACGACAGACTTACTAGGTAGGAAGTCATCCTTGATCTTCTGTGCAGCTTCACAACAAAAAAGCTGTCGTTGACGATGGATTGTACTTTTTGAAAGAACAACAGATGTTGTGGAGCATCCAATTTCATTAACCATTGATGCAATTATCATTGTTGATTTACGAATGCTGATGTTTGTGCGGTCTAATACAGCAGCCACTTTTGAAGTCATCACACCAGCACACTTGGGTTGTTTGGTCAGTCTATCATTAGTTATCTGGAGTACTAATCGTTCTTTATGTTTTGTCGAACACTTATCGCGAAAAAACATTTTATTGTCCACAGGTCCAATGCATCCGGTTCTAGATTCTTTCTGCAACTTTAGAAACTGTCAGTCTTCCTCATTCTTGATGAGATTGTCAGAATCAGCATGACTGATATCAAACAAAATATCCAGCTTTTCATTGTATTCTTTTTGGTTATGTTGATCCTTAGCATTATTCCTTGAACAATGTTTCATTAGTCCAACATGCTGTGAGTAAAGATTTTTAATCTTTTGAACAATATTTGGTTTGTGTTGGACCGGTAATCTCGATTTCATCCAGAAGGGCAGTAGTTGGTCGTGTACTTGCTTCGCATTCTGAGCAACTGTCAGTTTATGCTTCCTCTGGAAGTAAACAAAATTCTGCATAACATCACGACCTGAAGGAAGGCGAGCTCCAGTTATTATGTCACATGGATGGTCAATCAACCAGATCATGTCAGTACTTCGAGTTGTGCTAGGTTTACACTTTGCCATTGCTCCACAGTCTTTATTCTACAATTTAAGTGAAAAACTTGTAAAAAGTAAATATATAAGATATCTAAAATATCTGTTTTTAATAATTTTTGTTAAATTTCTGCTTAAAACACTTGTCACTTGTAGAATATAATCTTTACTAGTATTTTGTTTTACATTTATAGCTATTTGAAAAGTGCCAAATTAGTTTTAATTCAATAAAAGGCGGGGGTGGATTTTAGAAAAAAAGTTACAAACTTAACGCTATTTGCAACAGTGATATAAAAGTATCAATTAAACAAAATAACATAAAATAATAAAAAAAGATGATCAGTATCTTCTTGGTTCATTAATAAATTAAATAAAGTGCAAAAGAAACACAAGAAATTAAAATTACAACGTCAGATTTACCTTCTGCAGACAGTATCTTCTGCAGACACCAACTACAGCTGGCCAAGTTGCTGGATGATAGAGCATAAAACAGAATTTTGTTCCAAAAACTAGTGGCTCTGTTTTCAACAAGGCTTGACTGTACAACCTGTTAAAAAGTGAAATCACGTGGTTTAGAAGCTAAGATCATAATAAAAATATCTAAAGAATGGTTCGATTATAAAGTTTCTTACTATGCCAAAAATAGAGAGTAACAGTTAAGTTTGATACATAAGAAAATATATGGGCACAAAAAATGGGGACTTTAAGCTGTATTAAAAATAATTAAAGAAGCTAAAAAAAAAGACTTTAAAAAAATGTTTAAAATTTTTAACGAGTGAGAAAATTGTAACAGCAAACATTTTTAGAACTGCATAAAATATTGCAAAACAATATTTACGAGTTCCTTAAACTGAAGGTCTTTTTCGAGCATTATATTTATAAGCGTCAATTTTTTAAAATTTAAGTTTGAAAATAAAAATGCTTCAGAGTTGGTTGATTCACCTGAAACATGCTATATATGTAAAACGTCTATATGTATTTTACTTTCTGGAACCAGTTTAATGTAAAATTCTGTATAGTAAACTAGTTGGTATAATGATGCAGCAACATGCTTACAACAGCCTCCTACATCAGCTTTTCAATTGCATTTAGCATAATGTATTTTACCAGTAGACTGGCATAAGTGTGTAAAAACTTTGTATTGTTTACGTTTCACAGACGCTGCAATACTACACTTTGTAATAAACAAGTTTATGCTTTTACATTTTTACAAATTTTTCTTTAAATAGGCGATAGCCAAGAGTTTGATGCTTTTCAACTCTTATCTCTATATATATTTCTTATCTATAAATATATTTATATATTATCTTATATATATTTCGGATCTTCTTATCTATATATAACTATCTATATATATAGTTTCCTTAACAAGATAATCCTTGATAAAATTGTGAGTTATATATTTGGCTAAAATAAATGTCTTTTGTTCAAGTTGAAATACTGTTGTTTATAGATTTCTCTTTATTGAAAGCAACAAGTTCATCATGTTAAAGTTCACAAAAAACAGCTTCAGATGTTGAACAACAGCTCGGGAATAACTCATTATTGTCATAATATCTATTTAATTAAAAACTTTATTTGGATTGTTTAGATTTAAATGAATACAACTACCACAATGCATTGCTCATTTGATAACTTGTGGGAAAGGTCTGTTGCTTCATTTTTGATGAATAAAAAGGTAGTTCTGTTACCTTTTTTTCTAGAAAAAAAGTACCGCATATATTTATATATATATACATATATATATATATATATATATATATATATATATATATATATATATATGTATATATATATATATATATATATATATATATATATATATATATATATATATATATATATATATATATATATATATATATATATATATATATATATATATCTTCCTGGAAGAGTGTGCGGTCGCAAGCCTTGTTTATCCATGCCTAAAGTCATTTTTTTAGACAACTTGACACGTTTTAATATAGTAAGCGTTTCAAGAATTTGTGGCAAAATAAAGTGATTATTACTGTTGTTGTTTTTTTGTTTCCAATGCTAGATATTTTGGCTAGGAATATTTTAAAACCTAATATTTTATATCTTGTTTATGTCTTCATCTTTGGACTCTTAGGTTTGGTCTTGTCTTGGTCTCAAATTGTACATCTTAAATTTCAATACAGATCACTAATCAGATGTTTTAGAATATAACAGTAAAGTCAGATGTAAAGTTGCTCTATTCTCATGTTAACAACTGGAAACCAATTAAAAAATGCCTTTATGCTCTTGTTATATTGTTAAATCTTTTAAATTGATTTTTTCTGTGTTGTCAGTAGAACTTTTAAATGTTACTGCTTTTTATGTAAACTGCTTTTTATGTAAATGTTAAAAAACTATTTTTAATTGCATCTATATAAACTCAGCTGAAACCAAAAATCAAAAATTAAGCTGCTGAAATAAATGTTCATCCTCATATGCTAAATAAATCTTTTTAACTCCAAACTTTTTAGTTTTCAGCTAAAATTGCCAATTTTAACAAAAGGGTTGTGTCCTAAAAATAATAAAATTTTTTTTGAATAATTTATTAACAGCACCCAATAAAATAAAAAAACTAATATTAAATATTAAAAAATAATAAAACTAGATAACTTTCTTAAATTGTTTTAGAAGAATTTATTTCAAATTTTGAACGTGTGCAAGAGTTGTTACCTAGTGAAGAAGATTATGAAGGAGCAATCATTGCATTATTTCGACTTCAAGATACATATAAACTTCATTCTAGTGCTCTGGCTAAAGGTATATATATTTTGTTTGTGTGTATATATATATATATATATATATATATATATATATATATATATATATATATATATATATATATATATATATATATATAATATATATATATATATATATTCGACCTTAATGTATATATATATATATATATATATATATATATATATATATATATATATATATATATTTGACCTTAATGTATATATATATATATATATATATATATATATATATATATATATATATATATATATATATATATATATATATATATATATATATATATATATATATATATATATATATTTGACCTTAATGTATATATATATATATATATATAAAGTCTAGCATGTTAGACACAAAGTTTTTCCCATAAACTCTTGTTTTAAAGAGCGCGTTAATAAGCCTGACCAGAAAATGTTAAAAAACTTCGAAAATTTTTTTTTTCTTTTAAATGATAGACTGCCTGCCCAAACCGAACCCTCAGTTGATGTAGCAACACTCCCTTGCGAGTCAGGCTATTTGTCAGTCGATGTAGCAGCACTCCCTTGCGAGTCAGGCTATTTTTCAGTCATAAAATAGTATCTTTTGACTACACTATAAGGATATATACAAGGGTTGAATTAACGCATCGCGATTTGCGATATCTGTTAAATTATCTGGTCTTCAAAGTTTCAGTTTATGGAAAACCACGAAATTTACGGAATAGGCGAATAAACTTTAATTTGTTAGTTGTTAAAAGGGGAGGGGGGGGAGGCTAAAAACTTAAATTTTGTTTTATTATCAATTAAATCATAATAAAAGTAAAGACAAAAAAATATATTTCTAAAAATACTTCTTTATAACTAAAATTTATTAAATTGAACACAATTTAATAAAATTTATTAAATTGAAATGAGCCCCATATCGCCCATTGCATGGGCGATATGGGGCTCATTTTGAAAATCGTGCGGGGGGGGGGGGATTTTGCTACTGACTACTCTAATGTGCTTAATACAAAGGTAGGTGGGGGGTGGGAATTTTAGTCAGGATGTATAAAATGGGAGGAGGAAATAATAAAAAAAAGCGCGAGGATTTACAATGAAAGTTTTATTATTTATCGGTTACCAATATATATTTTTTTTAATTTTAAGGCCAATTTTCACTGAATTTTTGTTTTGAGATATAGTTTTTTGTTTATAACAAGTGACTTGTTATAAACAAATAACACGATTTTCAAAATGAGCCCCATATCGCCCATGCAACCTAAAATTAGTTTAAAAATAGGACACTTTTTGTCTGCTAACCCCCCCCCCTTCCTTCCCCCGCAGTTTCGCTACTGAGAGTAGTACCGACATTTACTTAAAACTAAAAACAGAGGTGTTCAATTTAATAAATTTTAGTTATAAAGAAGTATTTTTAGAAATATATTTTTTTGTCTTTACTTTTATTATGATTTAATTGATTAAATAATACAACAAAATTTAAGTTTTTAGCCTTCCCCCCCTCCCCTTTTAACATAGATTTCTCCTAAGAAGTAAATTACCAGTGTTTTCATTGGTTGATTTTAAAGTGAACGCGCGTTTTTTCCGGACCATTTGTAAGATGTTTAGAAATGCTAAACTGTTTATAAAAATATGTATTCGTAAAAGTTGCTGAGGTTTTTAACATTGTTTAAATATCCATTGTACTTTTTTTAGATGCATTACTACTTTAATTAAAGTTTGGAATTACTTAACTAAATCATTTTTATTTATAATATCTTGATTATGTGTTGTTTGATCAAACAATAAACTATAAATGCAACTTAAAAGAGTGTTATAAAAGTAACAACACTGTAGTGTTATTACTTTTGTAGTCATAAATTTATTGTTTTGTTTTTTATAACATTTTCACTAACAAATTAAAGTTTATTCGCCTATTCCGTAAATTTCGTGGTTTTCCATAAACTGAAACTTTGAAGATCAGATAATTTAACAGATATCGCAAATCGCGATGCGTTAATTCAACCCTTGATATATATATATATATATATATATATATATATATATATATATATATATATATATATATATATATATATATATATATATATATATATAACTAACCTAATTTTCCAAAAATAAAAATCTGCTAAACAAAAAAATAAAATGGTATCCAAGTGCAGGCATCGAAACAAGTTCCTTCTCGCCCTATTCAACTCGGGTGATTGAGCAATTTTCTAAATAATTAAAAAATTGTTTGTTTTGACGTCAGAACTCATTCCATTGCTTTGTTATGGTTTTTTCCTGTTAATTTCTGTATTTTGTATTTTTTAACGGTTTTTTTTTAATTTAAAGAATAAAATATGGCTAATGATTGCCGAAGGGCATGAAACTTTAAGTTCCATCACAAAGTTGTATTTTTTCAAATAATCAAATCAAAAATTATATAATATATATATATATATATATATATATATATATATATATATATATATATATATATATATATATATATATATATATATATATATATATATATATATATATATATATTTATTTATTTTTTTATAATCCAAAGTTGGAATACAATTTTTAAAAAATAACTATTTGGGTATCTCTTAAGATTAATGAAAGTTATTCATACCTAAACTTTAATAATTAAAGTTGATATGAGTAAGAATAAATTAGATATGTTAAAAGCTAGTTGATAGCAAGATGTTTTTGTGCATATCAAAGGCAACTAACCTAATTTTATCTTTGCGGTATGACTTCTTAGCTTGAACAATAGTTCTAACAATTAAGAGTTAAAATATTTCTTTTTTATCATAATTATTTGAAAAAAAGTTTATTTATAAGTACCTTGTCAAACCTAACCTGTTTTATTTTTATTTATATATTATATGTATTAGAGGCTACCTTTAAAGAATTATTTTTGGTGTTATTATTATTATTATTATTTGAGTATTTACCATGTCATTCTTTGAAATATAATTTCTATTGGTTTGTAACAAGTTTTAGTCTAGTAATAATTCTCTGTAATCTTCAGTTTTAAATTTTATATACCAGAGTTTCAATTGTAAACCTTTGGTATTTAATATTTTGAAAATGTAGTTTGTAACTACAAAACAAGTCAAGAATAAAAAGTATCATGTTTTTTTTTTAAATACTCACATGCACATGTTTTTTTAGGTCTTATACCTGGTGTTAAGCTAGGTCACTTGCGGCCTTTAAATGTTGGGGACATTTTTGAAATTGGTCAATTTGCATATTCTAATAATGACTGGCATCATGCTACTGATTGGTTGAATACAGCGTTAATGCATATTGGGACTCATGAAAATCAAGTGACAAGAGATAGTGTATTAGATTATTTAGCATATGCTGAATTTAAGGTATTTTAAATTAAAATTTAGATTCAAATTTAAAAAATAGTTAATTAGAAATAAATGATTTTTTGCAATTATTTGTAAAAAAAAATTATTTTGTTTTATATTATGTTCTATTAAATGATAACCTAGCAACAAAGCATGTGTATCTAGTTATATTTTATTATAATTTAAACTGATGTTTGTGTGATGATCTGTGCATCTGGTATCTTACTATATTTTAAACTTAAAATATATTTATATCTGGACTTTGTGCTGACCATTCAAGAACATTTATGGATTTGGTTTGTAAAAATTCTGTTATTTTTTTTTGACCTATATTTTGGATCATTATATTGTTGAAATATAAAATTTCTACCTAGTCTCAGTTTACGCGCTGATGAAGTCAAATTATTATTTAAAATATCAATGTACATATCTGAATTCAATGTATCTTTTATGAATTCAGGATTTCCATTCCCAACACCACTCCATAACATACAGCCCCATACCATTATATTACCACCTCCATGTTTTACAGTTACATGGAACTTTAGTGGTAAGCTTCACCAGTTTTTCTCCAAACATTTTGTTTACCATCAAAATGTACCAAATTAAATTTGGATTTATCTGACCACAGAGTTTTATTCCAAAATATATTGGCTTATTAACATGAGTTTTAGCAAATAATAATCGTTTTTTCTTATGTTGCTGTGTCAAAAATGATTTTTCATGTGGTATGTAGCTCTTAAACTCATTTTCATGTAAACGATTTCAGATTGTTTTATCAGTTATTCTGGTTCCAGTGTTATATTTAATATGAATTGCTAACTTGAAAAAGGGGACATGTCCTGCAAAAATTCACATAACATGTCCCTTTTTTCATGTTAGCGATTCATATATTCTGCAACTTTTCTAAATGAATAATTTTACAATCAAGTGATCTTCTTTGACAGTAGTCAAAGAATATCACTTGATTGTAAAAAAATCATTGTATGAAAAGTTTGAATGTCAATAAAATTTTTACATTTTATTGACATTCAAACTTTTTATACAATTTCGAAATGGTGGAACGTGGAACTCTAATCTCTTTTTCGATAGTTCTGTAAGTTTTTTTTCGTTTAAATCCAAAATTAAATTTCATTGATTCTCATTCAAATTTTGTTTTGCTGGAGCCATGATTGCTAAAATATAGATTTTGCTCCTAAATATTTCATAAAATAATTTTTTAGAGAAAAAAAGTAGTGTTTTATCTTCAGAAAATTATTAGTATCTTACAAAATAAATTATAAATTCGAATTAAATAAGATATTTTTAATGTAAAAAATCTTGTCCCATTAAATTTTTTACGCATAAATTAACAAAAAAATCAAACACATCTAATTTTAATGATTAAAAATATACAAATGAATCAATTTTGTCACTAACATTTGTTTGACAGTGTTGAACGATTCAAATTAAAACAAGAGTACCATTATTTAGAATAGGAGCAGACAATACACCATTATTATTAGTTAGGCAGCGTCATTTATTTTTGTCCCATTAAATTTTTCAAACACTTTAATATATAGGTATATATATATATCAGGGGCTATTATAGGCAGTTTTTGCCAGCGTCGACCATATTTGGGCGCCACCCAAATTAAAAACTTAGTAGCCTTTTTCTTTTTTAATGTTTTTTTTTGCATATAATTAGCAGAAAAACAATGTCAAATCTTTGCATTAGCTTACAAATTTTAAAAAACAAATATTTTACCATTTTGTTAATGATTTAAATAAAAATCAAATTTGCAGATCATATTTAAATTCAAATAAAAGGTTCATATTTAGAATTTAGATAAAAAGTTTGTTTTGCTGTTGTTTTTTTTATTTTATCAAGAATTTTAATAAAACTTCAGTTTTTCGATTGTTTTTTTGGTGATATTTAGACATTAAAACATTTGTTATTTTTCGTATTTGTATTAATTTATTTTATTTAGAATTTAATTATGTTTATTTTTATTTCAATTTAAGTTTAAATAAAATGTTCGTTTTGTTGTGTATTTATTAAGTTTATTTGCTCATATTTTAAATGAAAAGTTTGCTCTGTTGTTTTTATTTTAATTAAATGAATTGTTTGTTTTACTGTTGTGTTTTTCTAATTAATTTGTTCAGCATTTTAATAAAAAATTTGTTTTGCTATTTTATTTAGAATTTAAATAAAGCATTATTTTTTACGTATGTATTATTACTATTTTATTTAGAAGTTAAATAAAACATTATTTTTTACGTCTTTATTATTTTTATTTTATTTAGAAATAAAACTTCTTTATTCTGCTTTTATCTTAATTATTTAAGAATTTAAATAAAACTTTTGCTTTACAAATTTTAATTTATTTGAAATAGCACAGAAATTTAAGTTTTAAAATTCTGAGGTCAGCAAATAATTGCCAAACTCAGATACTGTCAGGTTCGCAGTTAGATCGCATTGCCAAATGCTGACCTTAATTGTGAAGGCTGGTCTGCAACTAAAAATATATCCATATACAAATCTTAGATTATTAATTTTACCAATATATGTATCTTATTTATTACATAATAAGGTTTTTAGGTAGTATGTAAAATTTTTGCTGTTACATGTATGGCTTTTTGTTTTTGCACATCACTTTCTAATGATGATGTCTACTATAGTGTATATATAATGCCATTTTGCATTTCAATAAATTTTACATGATCTTGATTATTTTCTCTTTTTAACTGAATCTTTCTCATGTTATCTGTAGTGTACACTCTCAGAGTTGTATACCTTTTCCTACTTTTCCTACTGAAACTGCCAACTCTCTAAATACTGACACCCAATTATCCTCATTTTTAATCTTTATGTGTGCAACGCTTATCTTTTCTGATACACCCTATCAGATGCAATCACTATTTTCAAACTCTGTCTCTTAATGTCTTAAACTTTGCAAGCTGATCTAGTTGTATCTCTAATACTGTCACCACTATTTCAATCTCATTTTGGACTTATTTTCTCTATTTAACAAAAGTACATTTTCTGCACTTGAAACGATGGTTCAAGCAGCTTGTATATCACAATATTTCTTGTAAACTCATTGCTTGTATATAGAGTTTGCTTCAACTCTTTTCTTACTCACTATGTATATGTTACTTTTCACAAATTTTTGCTTGCTTATTCTTAAATTTACAATGCATAAATTTAATCATATTCATGTTTATTTCAAGCCCTTTTGCTTTCCAAGCACTGAACTCTAAATAATAATTCTTCTTTTGTCTCTGCTATCAAACCTAATGTCTCAGCCCTGATTAGGGTTGCCAGATGTTTGTCTTATATATTGGAAAATGCATTTCCGAAGCTATAAAAATAAAGATTGTTACTGTGCTCTCCTTTGTAAAAGCCAGACTGGCAACATTAGCCCTAATGCTTAATTTTGAAACTATTTTACACTTTTCTTCTTTTGTTTTGATAGTGTTTTTTTCCCATGTAACTAAACTAATTTATTTATGGGTTGTTTGTATAATGGCATTTCTTTCTGTGTATTTTTTGCTTGCAGCCTAATAATTATTAATAAACATCAGATATAATTAATTTTTTAATTTTTAGGCTGGAAAAGTTGATGAAGCTTACAGACATACAAAAGAGTTAGCAATATTGAGTATAATATTTAAAATTTTTTTTACTTGCAATTTAAAGTATCAACTAATTTTAATTAAATCAACCAGTAAAGATTTTTTTTTTTAAATAAAATTTATCATCATCACAGAGCCAATGACATTGGGGTGGGGTACCTGCCCCACCCCCACTTTTTTTCTAAAGGACCTTTTTTTTTTAATTTTTCAAGAAATTTTTTTAAAAGTTTTTTGATTGTGTTCCTCCTTTTTAAAACCTGTGTTGTCAACCCTGCATCATCATTATATTGAATAAAGTAGTTTATAGTACTATAAATATTTTAGACTTTTAAATTTTTAAAATTTAAGTTTTTAATTCAATCAAATACTTACCTAAAAAGGATGATGGTGAAGTAGCTACTAGTGGAAGTTAACATACTGTGATAAACTAGTGAGTGGGGAGCTGCTGTAATTTGTATTACACATGCTCCATTTGATAACTTTCATTTCCTGGGTAAAAAGAAAAAAAGAAAAATAAGTAATCAACAATATTTTATAAATTTTGAAATAAAATATTTTAAAGATTATGTTTAGAACCAAATGAACAACGTATAGTGGAAAACTTGGACTATTTCAATAAATATTTGCATACATCTCGATCAACAAGTCGCTATGGCGATGATGGTTTAAAAGATGATTCTTCAGCATTTACTAGCGATAATAAAAACAAAGTTTTGAACGCTTATGAACAACTTTGCAGAGGGGAAGTTCGACCACTTGTAACTTTTTTTCGTTATTAGTTCTTGATGTTTGCTTGTTTATTTAGTATTTATATATTATATTATTATTAATAATATTTTGTTTATTAAATTTATTTTTAATTTATATTAGACAAAAAAAGAGCAAGCTAAAATGAAGTGTTGGTATTCAGCTAAAGATCCTGTGTTAAAACTAAAACCTCAAAAAGTTGAGAGGGTGTGGGTTGATCCTGAAATTTTTATCCTACGAAACATAATTAGTGAGAAGCAAATTAATCTTATTAAAGAAGCAGCTTCACCAATGGTAGGTCTACAATGTATATATATATATATATATATATATATATATATATATATATATATATATATATATATATATATATATTCACATAGGGTGACCAGAATACTCTTTACTCTTATTTTATGCAGGAGTGCGCATCAAAATTAAATTAAATAAGTTTCAGCATTGTGCTCTGCTACATAAAAAACGAGTATTCTGGTCAACCTATATATATGTGTGTTTGTGTGTGTGTGTGTGTGTGTGTGTACATTCATATATAGTTTTAATGGTATCATTTTTGATTTTAGTTGAGACGTGCAACTATCCAAGATCCTATTACAGGAAAGTTAAGACATGCTGATTATCGTATCAGTAAAAGCGCATGGTTATCGACAAATAAGTATAACTTCTTACAAGCCTTAGAAGCAAGGACTCAAGCCACTACAGGGCTAGATTTAAGCTATGCAGGTTATTTTTTCATTTAACTGACACCAAGTTTTAAAATAGCGCTGTTAATTTTAAACTAGAAAGTCCAGACCCGTAATACGAGTCGTGGTAGGTCTGATACACACCTCTCACTTTTTCTTTTTGTTTAATAGGTTACAGAAAATAGAGGAAATAAATAAATTCATTAGAGATCTTTATTTATCGTTTCCTTTTGCATTTTTTGAGTGTTATATGCACATAGCATAACAAAGTAAATCTATCAAAAGAATTTTCATGTATATCCACTATACCATGACTCCTATAACATCAGAGCTTTAATTTTATTATCTATTTATTGCTTTTTTAACTTTAAGCTTTAAAAAACTTTAAAACTTTAAGCTTTTAAACTTCGTTCTGTTTTATTACTTAAGCCATCTTTGTTTTAATTGATATTGCGTCAAAGTTTATTAACCCAGAAAAATATTAATACTCTATACAATTATGCGGTAGTGGTGCAGTGGTAGAGCGCTCGCTTCATAAACGAGTGGTTCCGAGTTCGATCCCCACCACGTCCCTGGTAGTACTGCGCTCAACTCGTTTCTCCACGCAGCGGCCTTGTTTGTCAAGGTTCGTGTTTTGGAGTTATAGAGTTGAGAGAGGGTTATAGCCACAATTAAGTAGCCTCCTCGTCTGTAGTGGCCTTCTCGGTCTTGAGGAGGTGAATTAAAATAAAAAATAATAATAATAAAAAAATAAAATTGGCCTACTTTAGAGTTATGTTAATGTCTACCAAATGTCTATTAACTTAAGCATTCATTTATGATCATATTTTGAAAATGCAGAAAATATTTAGCTTAAAATATCTGGAATATATTTTGCCTCGCATTTGTCTTATTTTTGCGTTGGGTTTTTTAATTTATTTGAAACTTTTTTCAATTTTTGTATAGGTAATGGCTGCAAAGGTTAAAAAAATATATCTCAAATATATATATATATATATATATATATATATATATATATATATATATATATATATGTATATATATATATATATATATATATATATATATATATATATATATATATATATATATATATATATATATATATATATATATATATATATATATATATATATATATATATATATATATATATATATATACAACCCTTGGAATTAGGAAATCAATCATAAAGTTTTTAATATATATTTAAAAAAATATTTAAACCAAAAAATATATATTTAAAGCTATAAAATCTCATTCAAAGAGCTATAAAATCTCATTCAAAGAGCAAAATTATTAAAAACACTAAAAATAAAAAAATGAATTTGAAGTTTGAACAAATTTTATTATTTTCAATGATTTTATAAAATCATTCAAAAATTATTTCATTAATCCAACTTTTGGGATTTTATATTGAATTTTCAGTACAATATTAGTTTTTATAAAAATCATGTAATTTATGAGTTTCTTACTAATTTGATTAAATGATGCAATAAATGTTCAAATAATTTTTTTTTAAACATCTTCGCTTCCATCAAGGCTGCAAGCAACCACTAATTAGTGTTGGAAGTTACTGGAAGAGAAAAGATCAAGATTGTAGAGCAAGATAACGATTGACAGATGACTTAAAAGGTTGCAAATTATATGAATCAGAATCAAATAAAAAGTATAATGAAAAATCCATAGACTATAAATTAAAACATTAGAACATTATAACTGTGCAATATTTTTCGTCTATCATTCTTTAAACGGGATGTTTATCATTTTTGAACAACAGAATTTTAAATGCTCTTGTTCTTGAACACGTGACCGTGTGAGAGAAACACGATTTTTTTTATATACACCAACTCCATGAATTGTTTGACCTTGACTTTAATTGATTCTTATTGCATATCCCAATCAAACAGGAAACTGATGACTAATCAGAACCAAAGGTAAATTAGAATGATGGAGCCAACTGAGTTTGAAAAACAAATTTACCACCAGAAACACCTATCAAAACCTCTGCATCAACATAATTATTTTTAAGAGTTCAAAATTTCATTTAGTTGCCATTGCATTTCCCAGCATTGAAATCAAAATTTCTAAGTAACATAGTTACACAACCAATTTTAAATTTTAAATGAGGAGACATACCTGAAGGAGTTAGGTTCTTCAAACACTCAACAGAAAAGTTATTTCTTTTTTTAAGGTCGTAAGTCTCAATTTAATCAGCACTTAAATAAGTTTTTATATCTCCTGTTAAACAATCAATCACTTTCTCATTGATTGACAGTGATTCATTGGTTGCTCTCTTTTTGCAACAATAAGTATTGGTCTAAAGTTAAAAAATAGAATTAATAATTAATAAACAAAATATAAGCTAAGAAATGAATTATAAAGTTAAATAATAGTTTAAAGTTATATAATATATTAACTGATTTTCGAGAACTAAGCTCATTAAATTAGACTTTTCATATATAGCCACAATTATTACTAGAAGATTCTATTTTAGCCAATTACAATCGTTATAACAATTGTCATTAAACAGTAACTAAGTGCATTAAACAGTAACTAAGCACATTAAATTACTAATTATAAGAAATGTGTTAAGAAAAGTCTTGAAACTACTTAAAAATAACAAAATACGGTGTTAAATGTTGGAGTATTGATATTTAAATTATTTTTTTGTTTTAATATTTTTAAACTAAAACATACTTGTTGGTTTTGTTTAACTTTATTTTTAAAATTTGGATTAATAAAATTGTCAGAATCCTGAATATTTTTGTAGATTTTTCATCCTATTTGTTAGTTCAATAAAAAAATGAAGTCATGTAATTTAGAAAAGTTAAGGAAAAAGCGAAATCTTTTCAAAGGAAATTTTCATTTAAAAACTAAAAGTTAGCAAGTAACTGAAATATAAGATAATTTGGCTAATTCTTTTAATTTTATTAAATTAATTAATTTTAAAATAAAGCTCAGCTCTAAAATCGTGAAAAACAAGAGACAATTATGATACCAACTAAAATATGTTATGTTCAAAAATATGTTAATTACATATTATAGTCTACATATCATAGTGTACTATGATATATAGTTAACTTTTATATTTTTTTTATTTTTTTAGAGCAACTTCAGGTTGCAAATTATGGTCTTGGAGGACATTATGAACCCCATTTTGATCATTCACGAGAAAATGAAGATAGGTTTACTGATCTTGGCATGGGAAATCGTATAGCTACTGTTCTTTTTTATGTAAGATAATTTAAAATAATGTTTAATATTTTTTCAGTAATTCGTTCATTCATTAAAAAAAAAATTTAATTGTCAACTTATTAAATAACTGTGATGCTTTGTAAGGAAGGAGTATAGTGTTTAATCCCTACCTTATCCCTGGTAGTACAGTGTTCAATGTATTTTTTTGTGCAGCATACTTAGAAAAAGTAAATGCTCAACTCTACTGTAGTGTCCCTTTTGGCTTTTAAGTAAAAAGTTTATAAAAATATATATATAATATTAAATTTTTATAATTTGATTTGTGTGTTTAATTATAGCTCAAAATTCTTTTAAAATAAATTTTTCAATCAAAACTCTGTGGGGCTGTACATAAACGGCGTCACCTTTTTCAAGACAATTTTTACCCCCCCCCCCTCCTTTGTTTCTACTTGTCCTTTTTTCCTATACCCCTTAAAAAGGATGTCATAAAATTAGGATGTCCCCTTCCCCTCTTTATTTTTTAAAACAAAGTTCGTTCTTAATTTAGGCTTTTTTATTGAAATTTTTCAAATTGCATTTTTCTGTGTTTAAATATCATATAGTAGCTTATTGGGTATTTCCACGATTGTTTCAGTTGATTGTTCTTTTGGCCTTCCTGAAAGAAAAATAATGTTTTATTACTCATATTCTATATATTAAGTTTAATAAAAGTGTGTCATTGGAATTTTCCTCACTCTTCGTCCATCCAAGGATTTTTTTAAATAATTGTTAATTGATATGATTCGAATAGGGCAGTCCAAATTCGTCTAAAATGGTTGCATCATTTGGAGTATTAAAGCCCTCTGTTTCGATTTTGTCCTGATTGAGCCATTTAGCTAAGGCCTCATTCTCTTCTACGGCAATTATGAACATTAACTCACAAATAGGTAATAGCCATTTGGTTAATAAAATTGAATGAGTAATGCTGACATGCTTTTTTAACATGATTTAGGAGGTAAAGTACAAGTTACAATGATTCTCTGAGATAAACTTGATTGCACAGAGGGACAAAATAGATTGTAAGGAGGAAGTCTGAATGATTTAAATGATTGAGAAATGGTGAATATTTGAGGCGATTAGAAAAAATGCAGAAAGAAAACAGTTCTTGCTGGTGATGTCTGAAAAACCGTTTTCAAGCCAGCTTTCAAGCCATTTTCTGACTGGCAGATTGGAATAGGTGGAGGCAGAAAACCTGGAATAGCATGGAAATAAGAGCTCCTTTTCAAAGAGCAATATTCGGGACACATTTCACAATTTGTGTAAAATATTGGCTGGTGCGCACATGAGAGGCTAACCATTCCTAATCCTTCGATAAAAGATGACAAGCAGCGAGCTCCGTCTTACTGTCTGGGTCAGTATACTCAACCACCATTGGAAACTGATCAATCACCAGACCTGAAAAGATCGAGGCATAGATATTTACAGAGAATTCAAAATTTTGTTACTCCTAAAGAAGATCCACTGTCCTACCTTAAATATATGTTGCAATGCAGATAATTAATACATTTAGTCTTGCTATATATTTTGATAAAGAGTTGTTATTAAAAATGAATTTGAATTCCTTGAGAGTCTAGATAAGTTCCATAATGATCATGAGGGAGAATCAATCCGGTTAAGTCAACACTGAAGGCAACCACTGTCTTGACTAACTTGGTCAAAGGGTCTTTTGTAATGGAATCGAACTTTGGCAGAGTCAAAAGTCACTCAAAGTTCAATCTGTGAGCATACACTGTCAATGATGAATGCTTTGTAAGATCAAACAGCGATATAAATGGGATCGAAATAGGAAGCTGTGTCAGGTTTCCAAGCCCATATGGTTTCATTTCAATGTCTGTGTAGAGAGATGGGATGAGCTTGTGCTTTCTGGCAATGACCCAATCTCGATCAAGAAGAAAAGCTCAATATTCCATATGCATTATTATAGAAGCTTGTTTGTTAGCAGCGGTGATTCCATTTGGGATCCGAGCTTTATTGTCTTGACTTATAAAGCACACTTGGGGCCTAAACAAGAGCACTCTTCTTTTATATTTCTTGTAATAGCTGTACAAAAAGGATCATCCACGTGACTTGAATGAAGAACGTTTTGGGCTCGCATCAACTTAATTGGACCCGTGTGTACGTGTCTCTTTCTTTTAAACAATTTTCTCCATTTTGGCATATAAAGCACTTCTGCTAAGATGTCCTCTCTTTTCGAGCTCAGCACCAAGCTCTCTCTCTCTTTCTCTCTCTCTCTCTCTCTCTCTCTCTCTCTCTATATATATATATATATATATATATATATATATATATATATATATATATATATATATATATATATATATACACGAAAATAAAATTTAAACAAATATTAACACAAATTTTTATTCATAAATTACGATAAATAAAAATATTACTTTCCGTTACGTTAACTTCATAAAAACACATGTTTACAAAGTTTTCCATGATATAAAAATAAAAATATTTTCTAACATGACGTCCTTTTCTGATGATCCTCCCCTTCCTCCTTGTCTTTTTTTTGTTTTTTTTATCTTTTTATTTTAAATCATCATCTGTGTTGAATAAAAATACTATTTTTTTATCATATGATACAACGTTTTTAGCTTTCTGACGTTGAAGCTGGTGGAGCAACAGTATTCACCGTTGGTAAAACTGCTGTTTTTCCTAGTAAAGTAATTCATTAAATATTCTATATATATATTACGTGTCAATATGCTGTTTTGTGAATTTTATAAATATGAAAATAATTTCAGACATATTACATTTATTTTTACTCATGAAAAATATCGTTACCACATTTTTTTATAAGCCATAAACTTATTTATGTTACTTATTTATGTTTTTATTTATTTTTTTTTTTTAATTTCATAGCAAGTCTTTATGTGTTTTGTTGCCTATATATATTTGTATATTTCAGTTTATTTATTTTTAGAATATAAACGTATTTTTTTTTTTTTTTTTTTTTGTTAAGGGTGATGCGGTCTTCTGGTTTAATTTAAAACGAAACGGTAAAGGAAATCCAAATACTCGACATGCTGCCTGTCCTGTTTTAGTGGGTCAAAAATGGGGTGCGTGTAAAAGACAACAATTATTCTACTAGCGACATTTTTATTTATTTAATGAATGAATAAAGTCGATTATTATTACTTTATTTTAGTAAGCAACTGGTGGATACATGAATTTGGTCAAATATTTCGTCGAAAATGCGCGTTGGATCCAAATTTATAAATTCTTGGTATTCATTTTAATTTATTTATGCGATATAATAGGTCGGTTTTATTGTTGCGATTTGTTTTTTTTTTTTTGTTGTAATTCTTTAATGTTTATAGTTTTGATAAATTTTCTATTTACTTTTATTTGCATTTAAGTTTTTCACTTTTTTTACTTAATGAATAAATTTTGTTTTCAAATTTCTTTTTTTACCATTTTGAACATGTTGTAAGAGTGTGTGTTGTTTTTGTGTGTGACGAAGTTATTATGTGTGACCAAGTTGTTTTAAAATTTTATAGATTTATAACTTATTCGTGTTGCATTACACTAGATATAGTGAAGTTATTTTCTTGACTTCTTATAAATTTTTTATTTATTTATTTTTTAAGACTTGTATTCTAGTTCTTAATTTTCCGACATTTTTAAATATACATAAAATATACTCTAATTTTATATCTTTTTTTTTTTTTTTTCCTCGTATGTTAATCTTCGCTGTACAGGAATGTTTAAAGGTGTAAGATGCTTGGGACTGTTCAAAAGTGTGAGGGATTTTTTGAAGGTGTAACGGAAACTTTCTCAGTAAATGCAGTAATTGAAGCGCAGTGGTTAGAGAGTTTACTTCAAGTTGAATGATCCTAGTTTTTATCTGCTCTAGCTCTAATAAGCGGCATCGGAAAAAGATGTAGCCTTCCTCTCCAATGAGACTTTCTCCTTAACTGTTATGCCGTGCTTAGCTATATGATTGTTTTGTGTGTATTTATTATGGTGCTCCCAGAGGTTCTTACGGTCTAATCACAGAGTACCGCGGAAGAACATTTACCTAGGAAGTTCAAGTCTCTTTCCTTACCAATGTCGTTTATTGGGTGAGAATCATTGTTGAACCACAGATTTACTGGTTCTAAGCCAAAACTCTAACCACTCTGCCATGGCTGCACAAAGTTTTAGAGTATTTTTCTAATAATGTTCAGATAATATCGTCTCCAAAAAAATATCTTGCTGAAGTATGTTGTGGTTAAATTTGCAAATTGGTAGATGCTTATTTTAAACTACGGTTTCAGTGTTTTTTATGTCCGCAATTGGGATTTACAGGGATACAGTGAGAGTGGAGTGCATATATATTGACTGATTTATTTATCCGTAGGCGAATTAAGTACACAGACTCGATATCTTGAATACTTAATCTGGAACTTTATTCCAGGTCCCTTTGATACTTCGAACTTTTGTTATATCGAACAATGTTTTTGGTCCCCGGGCCAATTTTCTCTCGTTAATCTTAAACTTTAAAAAAAAAAATTTCTAAAAAATGTTTTGTTAACATTCTATTTTTTAAAATTTCTATTTTCAAAAAGTAATCGTTTGAAGTTCTTTAAAATTCAATTTAAAGGTTTAACTTTTTTTGAGATTAATTACCTTTTTTTTTTTTTTTTTTTTCCATTTTCCGTTTTTGTTACAATTAAATTCCATAATATAATACAAGATACTCTTATTCTTTCAAAAATAAACCAGTTATAAATATAAAAAGTTAAAGAGAAAATATTAAGAGTTAGTTATACAAAAATAAATAAAAACGCGGGAAACTTGCAGAAGACCATTAAGTCTTATCATCAAGAACCGTTGTAATTATGTTTTTACAATATTAAATTCCTATAATAGTGTTAAAATCAAAACTTAATTAACTAAGGTAAATAGTGTTAAAACCAAAAACTTTTCAATGTAAAAAGACAAAAACAAAAAACAGACAAACAAAAAAAAAACAGCAGTTTAAAAGAAATCATTAATAAGATTTGTATACTTTGAAATATTCTTTTTTATTAGTTTTTGAAAGCAATTTATAGTGTTTACACATAGTAAATTACTATATTTTGCTAAGATTTTATTCCAGATATGCGGAGCACGATACGTAATTTTAAATTGTTCTTGTTTAGTTTTGCAAAATGGTTCAATTAAGCCTGTTTTGCGTAAAGTATATTTAATGTTAGGTTTTATTTCATAAAGATCATTAAAAATTGAGGTGCATTGTTGAAATTTACTTTTGTACATGAGACATAGAATTTTATAAACGTTTATCTCGTATAACGTAAAAATATTCATAATTTCAAACAGTGGTTTTGCATGTTCGTTTTTATTTTTTAAATTTATTATTCTTAAGGCATGTTTTTGTTTTCGATAGAGTGTTTCAAGCTTGCTTTTAGATGTACTACACCACGCAATATTCGCCTAATTCAAGTAACTTTGTATAAAACTGAAATAGATTTGTTTTAGATGATGCTTGTTTTAGATGATCCTGATAAACTTTAAGTTGCAAGGGTAATACCTATACTAAAATCAGGAGATGAGACTAGTATCACTATTTACAGACCTATTTCCATACTATCATGCTTTTCAAAATTATTAGAACACATTATGTATAAAAAATTGTATTCCTTTCTAGATGCAAACAATATTCTTCATAGTAAGCAATTTGGGTTTAAAAAGAGGCACTCTACTGATCAGGCCATTGTTCATCTTGTTCATGATATCTTTAAATCATTTGATGAAGATAAATATACATTAAGTGTATTTATTGGTCTCAGTAAGGCTTTTGACACTGTCGACCATTACATTTTATTAACAAAATTAGAAAACTATGGCATTAAACATACAAATATTGCGTGGTTTAAAAGCTATTTGTCAAATAGAAAACAATACATTTCTTATAATGAAGGTAAAACGACCAATATGAACATAGCATGTGGGGTTCCTCAGGGATCTATATTGGGACCACTCCAATTTCTCGTTTATATTAATGTTATAAGCAATGCTTGTACTGAACTAGATACAATTTTATTTGCAGATGACACAAATTTATTTTACGCACATAACGATATAAATATTCTGTTTAAGTCAGTAAACAAAGAGCTATTAAATCTTACTGAATGGTTTAATGCAAACAAATTATCTCTAATTGTAACCAAAACAAAATATACTTTTTTCCATCGTTTTCACGATCGAGATAAAATTCCTTTAAAACTTTCAAAACTTTGTATTGCTAATCAGAACATAAAAAGAGAAACCACATTTTCTTGGCGTACTTCTTGATGAAAATGTGACGTGGAAAGATCACATGCATTATCTTGAAAATAAAATCTCAAGGAACATTGGCATACTCTGTAGAGCAAAGCCTTTTTTAAATCCAACTTGCTTAAAGCTTTTATATTTCTCATTAATTCATTGCCATCTTAACTACGCAAACATTGCTTGGTGCAGTACAAATAAAAATAAAATAAAAAAACTATTTAACAAACAAAAACATGCAATCAGAACCATTTCCAGTGTGGGCCGTTTTACACATTCCCAAGAATTGTTTGTTAATTTAAATATTATGAATATCTACCAAATAAATATCTATCATCTTCTTATATTTATGTTCAAAATTAATAAGAATATATCTCCGAAAATATTCTACCCTCTATTCAAAATAAATCAGAACAGATATCTAACCAGATTTTCAAATAACAGTTACATTCAAGGTATTTTGCGGCGACTGAATTTTCAACATCTACAAGAGGACCAAAATTATGGAATAAAACATTAACAAATGAACTTAAATCAATTGCAACGCTTAATGAGTTTAAAAACAAATTGAAGCAAAAACTATCGATGAACGTTAATACTTCAGAAAAAGCTCAGCTTTTTCTGAAGTATTAATGATTGCTACTAATAAGTAATTAGAGGTTTGTCATTATCAACTTGACGATCTTAGAAAGGATCGTGTCACTTGTTACTGATTTATTTCTTCTTTTATAAAAACTTATGATTTATAAAAATTCTCCAGATAATTTAAGGTATCTGCTGGTGTAAAAGGAAAGCTTCAGGATTATGCGTATTTGCCTGCATGCTTTTTAATAATAGAGTTTTTATCATGCCAAACATTTTTTTTCCTTTTTTTTTCTTTTTTTTTTTTCTTTAAATTTGTATTTAAATTTTTCATAACCAATACAAAACTAAAAAGTTAAAGTTAAAGAACATTAAGAACTATTATTTTTATTTATAAAATCTTAAGAAAGTGTTTTATATTATATTGTGTTACGTTTTTTTTTTTAATCTATTACGCTATTTTATATTTACGGTATAGATTAAGGGGCTTGGTGATAAGACAAAATATGTCTTCTTCTTGCCGCTGCTATTTGTATATATGTTATGCTTTATGACTTGAATAAATTTATATAGTAAAAAAAAAAAAAAAAAAAAAAAAAAAAAAAAAAAAAAAAAAAATTTATTAAGTAAATCCCGTGACTGATATAGAACGCTTTTTTTAGAACTGATATAGAATACTTTTTGAAATTTTGCTGCCAATATAGGCAATATGTTTATTCCAGGTAATATTTTCGACAATGAGAACACCAAGAAATTTGTGACTCTTTCTAACTTCTGTGTTTTCAATAACTAGTTTTGGAAAAGAAATAAGATTTTTTTTTTTTTAAAAGGGTGGAATAATGAGAACTTTGTTTTATTTGAATTAATAGAAAGTTTATTTGCATTGAACCATAGTGAAATTTTATCTAACTCGTTGTTCATTTGTACGAAGAGTTGATGTATATCTTTACCTGAAATAAAAAAGTTACTGTTGTCAGCAAACATTATTGTTGATATATTTGACGCTCTCCAGAGATCATTCACGTATATTAGGAAAAGTAGAGGCCCAAGAATAGATCTTTGAGGCACTCCACAAGAAATTAAAGATGAATTTGTAAGTTTTTTATTTCCGTAATATATGGACTGTCTACGTTTACTCAGGTAATCTGCTATCCATCTGCAGGATACGCCTCTTATACAGTACATCATAAGCTTTTTTATCATTATTTTATGATCCACTTTTTAATAAAACTTTATCAAATGCGAAAACTTTTAAATAAATAATAGAAAAATACAAGACATTAAAAAATCGGGAAAAGGAATGTCTACGGGGAGATAATTAGAAGTATCTCTAATAATGTAAACCTGAGCTAGAAATAAAAATAAACTATTGACCTAGGTAGAAGAAAATTGCTCAAAATTTTTACGGAAAAAAAATTGCACTAGTAATTTCGTAAACGTTGACAAGGACATATTTGCGTGTCCCTCGTACAAAACTTTTTTCATTCAAGAGTGTTAGTTATTTAGTTTAAAAAAAAGGTTTTTTAAAAATTCGAATACGGCGCAAAGAACCAAAAAAAGGCGATACAAAAGTTTCTACCCTCCTATTTTTATGAATGATTATGATTTTGAATTTTATTCTGATTAAAAATTAAACTAAAACATAAATCTGAAAATTAATGGAAAGTTATCTATTTTACATTTGAAACGTATATATATATATATATATATATATATATATATATATATATATATATATATATATATATATATATATATATATATATATATATATATATATATATATATATATATATCGCAATTTTATATTTC